GATGTTGAAAAGCAAAAAACTGGTGTCTTGCTCCTTAAACAGGGAATAATTTGGATTATTCCTTGTGTTGCGGAGTGTGTTACTCATTGTATTCACACTCCTCTTTGTTCCCATTCCCTGAACCTTCTCCATGGTGAAGACTTCTTCTGTGTCAGTGGCAGCTAGGATTTTCATACCTGTAGCAGTAATGTAATATATTAAAAAGTGGTCTATTCCCTCTTTGTGGGCTTTCACTTGTGGATTAAGCTTGAGTCTTTTGATCTCAGATAAGAAACTGGTCTTTGCATTTAGCCTACGGAGTGTTTAATGAGAAATAGCAGCTCCCATCATCTGTGGTCAAAAGAGTCCATTTTATGTGAGGTTTGGCTATGGTGTTGTTTATGAAGCTGGTCTTTCCTGAAGCTGAAGTGGAACACTGTTATCTTCACTGGCATAACAGATGGTACTCTTTCCTGCAACTATTTAGCTATGCAGTGCCTCGTCTGCAGGACGGGAAATCCTTGATGTCTCTCTGCTACTACCTCTTCCCCCAGATCTGTGCAGCAACCCCACCACAGACTGTCATGGTTGAGAGCCTGTAAGCCCGACAGAGTCCAGCAAAAAGTGTTCCTAATCTATTTCAGACCTTTGAAAATTTGACAGGTCACTCATAATTAATCATGACGGGCTTGCTTGGGCTGTTGCTTGATGCGGGTGGATTTGGCTCACACAGCTGAAACAGGAAGCCTCTAGCACTGGTTGCTGTGAAGACAGGTTTAGAGAATCACAGAATCACAGAATGGTTTGGGTTGGAAGGTGCCTTTAAAGATCATCTAGTTTCAAACCCCCTATAATGTGCAGGGACACCCTCCACTAGATCAGTTTGCTCAGAACCATGTCCATGGGACATTCACCAGCTCTTACGGCATCTCTGCAGTCTAGCCAGTGCCTGGTGTGGAGTTGCATATCAGGTCAGGGATGCTGCTTCCTCCCTAACCCCTTGGGAAGTTCTTGGATGTGATGGTAGCCTACCAAAGCCCCTCCCAGATCTTAGAGAAACTGAGCTTTCAGTGTGTTATCTAAGGAAAACCTGTAAATGTAGATTTTAAAAGACTTTAGTGCTACAATTGAGCAACCTGGTCTAGTAAAAGGTGTTCCTGTCCATGGCAGCAGGGTTGAAACAGGATGGTCTTTACAGTCTCTTCCAACTTAAACTTGCATGATTCTATCCCACAGCAATGTGCCCTGCTATTGAGACTACAACTGAGATACTTAAAAAAAAGTGTACTGAATTTTCAACCAGAAACATCTGACACCAAAACAGTGGTATGGTTAAGTCTCTGGCTAGCAATGAGGGGAGTGTAATGTCATTTCAAGACCAGGAGAAAATAAATGATAGTGAAAAGGAATCTGCCAAGCATGAATTCACTGGGAGCTCTGTAGCAGTCAGCCTCAGTTCTCCAGAGTGACACCTGACCTGCCATTATGGTCACATGCTTAGCTTTTGGTGGTTTGCAGAGCTATATCCTAAACTGGTTTAGGCAGGACTAGTCTTGGTAACCCATCATTGCTGCTGACAAGCACTTAGAAAAGATGGTTAAGTAAGTGCACTGTTCTCAGACAGAATGTACTCAGCTAAAAAAAATCCCCCAATTAGTCCTAAAGTTATTTTTTGTTATATTGGTTGCAAATTTGCACCTCTATGCCTTGTACCCAAATCCTACAGTTGCAGCTGTATGGACGTATGTACGTATGTTGTCGTCTTCTTGCTCTGTGCATAATGTAGGCATGAATTAGATGTGACTATCCTGGACAGTGAAACACTTAGAAGTCGATCTGTATTCAAAAAGCTTTGCAGAAAGTCTATACTTTTGCACACTGGAAAGAGCATCAGGGTGAATGTATGAACATATGATAATACTGAGGCCTTAGGTTGAATTCTTATGCACTAAACTCTAATGTGACTTTATGTAAAACTTCATGTATATTCATACTGCTGTGGCAAAAAAGTCAGATGGGAAGATCAGAGGCATTTGTCAATTAGAGAAATAAAGCAAAAAGTGCCGATTCTTTCTACTTTTTGAAGAAATTGCCTCACAAAATTAGCAGCAAGCAAACACATGCTAAATATAGCAAACACTTATGTTGTCACTATAAGCATCCTACTACAATACTTGATGGAGTAATGTATGATTATGGTGACAGAGATTGTCCTGGATTTCTGGGTTGTATCTACCCAAACACTCAGGTAAGCAAAGAGCATTGAACATGTCCTGCAATTGGCTTCAATGAAATTACTCCTTAAGAAGAGTCAGAACGTGAGATGTTTTATTGGAACTTCTGAAGGAAAGAAGATAAACTACTACCAGGAGCTAAAAAAAAAAAAAAAAAAAGGCATTAAAAACTAGCAGTGTGAGTCCATGTGGGAAGTACACATTCGTCATGAATGTTGTTGCACTCATTCTGCCATGAAGAATTACAGACTTCTGAATTGTTGTAATCCAGTCTTCAAACTCCAACATTAGATAAAGGAGCTGACAGATACCTGTGCCCCCCACTGAATTATCATTGATTGAAAACTAAGATTAGCAGCAAAATATAAATCCTTCTCCTATAGTACACATCCTTGCCTCTTTTCTTCTGCCTACTGTAGAGAGCCGCACATTGCCCACAGGATTTCACTAACAAACATGGGTGTGAATTCTTTCAGCAAGTTGGACAACCAGTTTCAACATACTCTGGATACTAGGTACACACTGATTCAAAACATAAATGTGTAAGGATCTCTAAGAAGGACATTAAAATCTGTTTAAACTACCGAGATAGGTATGCTTTTCTTGGGAAATTAATGCATATTGCAATCTGAGGAACTGGGCATTTCTAAAAATCGCAGATGCATGTCCCTAAAACAAGATAATTTGATTGTTCTGGAGGCAACACATTCTGCTGAGAGACTGCATTCACCTGTTTTCTGTGGGGTGGGGTCATGTCTCCTGAGACAAAAAATGCAGTTTCTACATATTTACTATTTAGCAAGTGCTTCTGGTAAAAGATTATTCTTGTTTACACTTCTTAATTTGTTTTCTCTTTTGTTTGCTTGTTTTGTTCTCAAATGTTCCTCCTATTAATACATCTTCTGAAATTGCTTGGCCTACTTTAGGCTAAAAATAGTCCTTGTTGCTACTGCTGTAGCTCCACACAAGCCACATAACAACCACACCAGGAAAGAAAAACCCTCATGCCCTGCTGAGCTTCCCTGAAATGACAAGTGGGTCAGAAATCTGTATGACCAAAAAGGAGGAAGAAAATCAATCCTGCCTTCCTTCTCTGCTTCTACTGGGCTTGGTGATGGTGCAAAGTGGGGGAACAGCAGAAAGGTTTTGTTTTCCCTCTGTCTCCTCCACACCCATCAAGGACTGTAGATGACACTTCACTTATGGAGAGACATGAAAGAAACAATGAAACTGCAGGGACGGGAAGTTGCAAGGAAGACATTTTCATATTGTTTTCCAAGCAGTCATTCTTGAAATTAAGGTAATTTGATTGATTTCTTGGGTAAGTATCAGTCTTTGGGTATGATCAGACCAATGCTTCTGATGTTGTTCACTGTTAAAGTGAACAAGGTTACCCTGTCTCCTTCATTGGGCTGTGTCTGTGCTCCTGGTGTCTTAAAAAGGAAAAGGGCATTGGATACACAAATGTTTTCCTCTGCATTGCAGCAGACAAAACTTAACACTTCTCAACCTTGAGTGAAGAACTTTACACTACTTGTCTGGTTGTGCTCCTAGGTTCATGTGGCCAGTGATGCATACTGGTGAGACACAAACAGTCTTACTGGCCTTACTGGTGATCTCTGGCTGATAATGAAATGGAGGAGTGAAGAATACCCAAAAATGCTTCTGCAGCTACTTTGGCAACTGGGGAATGAAACTCTATTGCTCCACAGATAAAAATTGTGTTTCTATGATTTACTCCAGCTTGTGGGTGCTATTTTTTTTTCCATTTTACACTTAAGACATATTGGCAAGAACATGTCACACGCTTGTTGGAAGCCAGGACTCTGTGCTCATTTGCAGTAGAAAATCCCCTGGGTCACATTTTTCTTTGTCCTGACAGCTAGGAATCTGGCTCGAATGTATTTGGGGTGGTACCATCCTCAGTTATAGTGACACATTTGGGACTTGGAGGCAAATCTAAGCCTAATACAGAGAAAGCACAAGCTATTCTATATTCTCACTGATCTCCTAAGGCAGTTTGTCGAGGACAAAGTTATGTTGGGTACCATGAATTCAGGGTGTCCCAGCAGCTCCCGCACAGCAGGAGCTGCTCAGGTGGATGGGGTCATGGGTGGTTTTTGAGTTGGGGCCCAAACAGCGTTGGTCAGCAGTCCTGGCGGTGCCCCTGGAAGGGGGCATGCCAGCATTGCCAAGATCTGGACCAGGATCTACATCCCACCCTGCTGCCATTGACAACCCTCCTAAATCAGCGCATCCCCAGGGTTTTGAGGCATCAACACCGCTGCGCGTCACCCAGACCCCATCCTTCTGTCCCTTGGTTGATTTTCTGCTCCCTCCCTTTTCGGGGGGTGCAGTGCCGCCCGCGGTGATGCCGCAGGGCGAAGTCGCAGGAGCAGCGTGATGCCCGCGGTGGGACCGGCGCTGGAGGAGCCGGGAGACCCTCCAACCCCCGCCGGGCACTGCCGACTGCAGGTAGCGATGTCCCCAGGCGGCGGACTCGGCCCCGGCCCTCAGGGAGGGGACCCGGCTCCAGCCCCCAGGGAGGGACAGCCTGGGAGCGCGGGGAACCGCGGCGGCTCGGAGGGTCCCGCTCCCCCCTCCCCTGCATTCCGCCCGCCCCTCCTGGCCGGCCCCTGTCCCCTCCCTCCGCCCCGCCGCCAGGAGGGGGCTGGAGCCGGGTCCAGCGCCCGGGGAAGCAGAGGAGAAGAGGGGCGCGGTGGCGAAGGAGTCGCGCCGGCTTCTGCTGCGGGCAGCGCCAGGGGGAATCGGGGCGGGAAGGGGGGCGAGAAGGACGAGGCAGCAGAGGAGGCGGGCGGCGCAGAGAGGGAGTCCCGGAGCCGGCCCTCCCCGCCGCGGCGGAGGGCGGACCACGATGCCCAGCCGGGGGGCGCTGCCCGCCCGCCCGCCCGGACACCGCCGCCCGTAGCGGGGCCGCCGCAGCGCGGGGTGAGCGGAGCCGGGGGGGCGCGGGGCTTGCCCGTGCGGGGCCGGGGGGCTGCGGCGGGCGGCGGGAGCCGGGGCGAGGGAGGCGGCGGCTTCCCCGTTCCGCACTGCAGAGCGGGCCAGGATGCGGGATGCGGGTCGGTGTCGGGGGTGGCGGAAGCGGCGCGGGGATATCGCCACGGGATGCGCTGCTCCTCTCGGGGGTGGGGGGCCCTTTTTTCGCGGCAGGTGCCGGCTGGCCCCTCGCCCTCCCTTCTCCACGGGACTCCCCGCGGGAACACCCCTGGGAACACTGTTCGGGAAGAGGGTCGGTGGCCGCCGGCTGTACCCCCCCCTCTGCGGCGGGGCCGCGCGGGTGGACTGCGGTGAGAGAGGGGGCTGCGGCGGCCACAGGGCATGATGGACGCGCCGCATGCGGGGAGAGAGGCTTTGGAGCAGAGATGCTAAAATGTCACCGCGTGCGATGTCCCTGTCAGGTCTGGATGCTTTGAGCGACCTCCCGCCACTGGAGTCTTTCTGCATCTCTGGAAAACCCCAGTGGTTCGGGAAGGAGAGAAATGCAGGCGTTTTGATCCGTTGTCATTGACAGCTTGCTGGTAGTGAGATGAGGTTTCCAGGCTCTGAGGTTGTACAATAGTTCTCTGGCTCTTTGTAGGTGAGTACTTGAAAAATAAGTGTGTCAGAGTAACAGCAGTCGTCTTGCATGCTATGTGGTCTTTTGTGGGGCGTGAAGGCACCTAGGGCAGAGCAGGGATTCCAGCTGTCATCTCCCGTGCTGCAAATGAGATGGGTATGGTGAGAGAAAAGAGAGATCATGGCTTTGTGTACAGATTTCTGCCTGTTTCTATTCGGACATAACACCAAGTTTTTTAAAAAACCTGTTATTTGAGTACCATGGGCTTTTGTGCTTGATTTGAGAAGGAAGGTTTCTGGACAAGTTACTGTAGTGTGGGTTATGTCTGAGGTGGAGGCTACTTGGTATGATTCCCCTCAGCCCTTGCATTTCAGGATCCTGTTTAGTTTGAGGACATTGCTGTGGCCTCACTCTTTTTAAAGTCATCTCCCTGCTCTCAGGTCTGATTTTTGGGTTGGCTATTTCTAAAAATAAAGACTGATAAGACCTTAGGGGAAGGCCTTTATGCATCTGTCCACAGGTAACTTTGAATGTGCTGTACAGGAGGAGAATCTGCTTTTGAGGCTTGACACAGAGGAGGAAAAAGGACAAAATTTACATCACCTAGGGATCTGTCAAGTACTGGGAGCTATGACAACAGCTCTCTACTACTCTCCCTTATTTATTTGTATTCCTTCCTCTCCAACTTTCATTGCTAGCTCTCATGTGGCATATTTCAGTGTTGGCTTATGCCCACTCTGGGTGGAAAACCAGTGATGCTGAAAAACATGCTAAACCAATGTGTAACAAGAATGATATTCAGTGCTATGTCTCCTTTGATGGTGCATGTGAACTTGTTTCTTACTTGCTAGCCATTGGGGCTTATTAACCTGTTTCACTGTACACAACAAAGATCATTTTTTTTTTCTTATTGATGAGACATCAGAGGCGAGAAAGAGCTGGCAGGGAAGAGTATCCTTAATTCCTGAGCCTAGGAGTCACATCTGTTCAGTTACAGATGTGCTTGGTCTGTAGGTGTGTAATTCGAGATGTGTTTTGACTGGATTGAGAGAGTTCAGTAGCAGAAGAAGGAGACTTTTGAATTTGCAGTTGCTTTATACCTTTTTTTTTTGTAATACTGTACCTGAATTTTCTTTGACAGCTGTGGTCATCATGAAAAACCTTGATTTTTTTTTTCTTTGGTTACTCTTCCCTGCCTCTTTGTTCAATGGTAGGAGTCTGCCTACCATTGCACTTTGGTTTTTTTAGGGTTTTTTAAAATTGGCAAACATTTCCATAATTATTACTTCTGTCAGATAGTATACTGAACTGATTAGCCTATTTTCTAGTGCTCTAATTTTTCTTCTTAATAGTTTCTGCAGCCTCAAATATCTTGCAGTTCTGTGGGTAATACAACAGCATGATGGAGGTGTGTTTTTCCAGTTGTGTTCAGGAAGAGCTAATGTGAGTATCACTTTGGGATTTTATTGTGGAGTTATCACTTACTGTGGAACTAGGCCCTCAATGTATGCAAAATTGTCTAATGGAAAACAGCTACCTATCATCAATGCTTGAAAAAGGCATTCCTTTAATCCACTCGTGCTGTCCTATGTGTACTGGTTGAAGTTATGGAGAAAGACAAACTTTTTAAGTTGGTGACTCTTCAGGAGTAAAATCTGCCTTCAACATTAATTTTCCCCATTGTTGTTTCCTGAAAATAAAGATAGCACAAAGACAAATTCTGTAGTGCTTATGCCAGAAGCCTTTGTGAGCCCATCTTTTCTCTCTCTAACTAGTTTGTGCCCAGCAAATCTGTGATACATGGTCAGTTGTCCACTTATTTTCACACAAGGGTGCTAAAATCAGCTGTGCTACCTTGTTCTGAGTGACTGAAATCAGAGTGGTTATTTCTTAGCAAGTGAGAACACCCCAGGTTATGACAGCTTTTGAAGCCTTTGCTGTGTCTTTAGTCTGTTGCTGTGTCTTTAGTCCATTGCTTCCCAGGTGAGATTCCCATGTGAATTAAATCAGTTCAGTTTTTGTTCTGGTTGGCAGCTGGGAGGTTAGTTCTCCTGAAATTGCTGCATAGTGTCTGCTGTGGCTCTGAGTGGTTGTTGGTGATGCTCGGTGCTTTGAAGTTCCCAACTCTGGAGGATGGCTTGATGTTACATTGAATTCTGCAGATTTAGCCCTATACTATTCCCAGGACATATTTTCTTTATTTTTTCATGTGTCTTTTTTGTTTGTTTATTTGTTTTTATTTTGTTTGTTTTTAATCTGATGACAGAAAAGACAGGGTGCAGACATCAATCTGGAAGCCCAGTTCTTCTCTGAAGAGCACCCAAAGCTCTTGGGGTTTTTAACTGGTAGATGTTTGGATAGGGCATAAACACAAAAATAATGACCAACATGTTTATTGCTACTGCTGTGCGAAGTTGGTGCTGCAGCTTGCTCACATATCCTCTCTCACCTATTTAGGTATTGTTTGCTAGGTTTGCATATCCAGAGTGAAACTTGCTTTTCAGTGGTGCTTTTCAGAAAATGCTGCTTGGCAGCAGCTGAGAGACCCATTGTGAGTGGCATTGTTGTTCATGATGCATGTCCTGATTCTGAAAATCTGGTGCTTTTGTTACAATTGTGCTCCCACCGACATCTATTGGATGGAATGAAGAGGGGTTGAAGAGGAGAGGCTACAGAATCAGTAGCTACTTTTAGTAATCATTAGCTGGGTTGTTTTATATGTGCCCAACATTCACTCTTTTTCTCCCTTTTTGGATAATCTGCTTTATTGGTGGTGTGTACCCTGTGCACTGTGAAAACAGTGCTGAATAGCCTGCCTGTGTTGTAAATAATCAGACCTTCTTGTAAGAGTATGTAGTGACAGGGCAAGGGGGAATGGCTTCAGACTGAAAGAGAGTAGGTTTATATTAGAAATTAGAAAAAAAAATCTTTACTGTGGGAGTGGTGAAGCACTGGAACAGGTTCTCTAGAGCAGTTGTAGCTGCCCCATCCCTGGAAGTATTCAAAACCAGGTTGGATAGGACCCTGAGCAGCCTGGTGTAGTGGAAAGTGTCTCTGCCCGTGGCGGGGGTGTTGGAACGAGATGATCTTTAAGGTCCCTTCCAACCAAACTGTTCTATGATTCTATGAATCATCTAGGAGCAATTACACACAGTCCTAGGGAATTGAGAGCAGTGTCATTCATATGGTAGTCTTTGTTGTGCTGCTTTTTTTTCCTAATAAGCAAATGGGTTGATGTCTGTTCATCTTTTTGAAGTACAAGATAACTTTCCTTACCCAAGTGGGTTTCTGTGTTTTATTTCAAAAGGGTTGAACTTTGTTAGTGTGGGATATAGGATATCCCACGGTAGTATCCGGAATGTGTTGTGCAGCTTCCAAACTTTCTGGTTATACTGAAAATCATACGGGAGTGATTGAGGATATATTAGTCTGAACGGGGTGGCCACAGGCAGAGGAGTGAGGACAGAATGGGCTTATACATATAAGACAGTGTTTTGATCCGTTTTTCTGAAGGATTCTGCATTATTCTCGTATCTTTACCAGAATGAGAATTAGCTTGAGGGCAGATCCACGTGCAGAGATGTGCTGATCATTCATTTACTATGTCCTCTAGGGATCTGAGGATCAGCATAAATTGTAAAGGCATGCTGCTTGTTGCCAAAAAGCAGAATTGTGTCTGCCAGATAGAGGTTTAAAGTTTTCTATGGGCTTGGACATCCTTTGAATTTGGAGTAAGGCTTCTGGTTTTCTTGTTTTAAACGTGTCACTGGAATTCATGACCATACAGGGCAGTCATATTGCCACACTGCCACATATCCTCTACTCCTTTAAGCCATTTTTTTAAATAGCCTTGACAATACATGGCTCCTTTGATTTTTATTTTCTCTTTGTTGCTCTCTAGCAAGTGGGAGGTTGATCTTTTGCTCAGAAAATTTGTCTCATGGAGGAGCAACATTTACAGTTAATGGCTCTTGCTGTTGATGACAAAAGTTTTGTAGAAATCATGGCAAATGCCTGTGAGACACTAATATTTTTGGCAGCTCTAAGGTCACCAATTTTAAAATTGAACTCAGCACAGCTGAAAAATTGAGCTTCATTCCTAAGCCTGTCTGAGGACAAATAATGTGTAAGTCTAAAGAAATATGTCTGAATCTCATCCTGGTTGTCCCTGAATGCCTGCTTAGAGCTTGTCAAAGCTCACATGTTTCTAGAGAACCTGAGAGTTGGACCCTTGTAGAAGAGCTGCCCTGTTCAGTAACTTAAACAGGAACATGAAATTGCAGTGTGAATTTTCATGGATGTTTCTTGTGCTGCTTTTTACTGCTTACTTGAGGCTCCAGTGAATTCAGCATCCTGCTTCACCACCCAT